ATGCGCCATGCATGGCTCACGTGTTCAATCTGGTTGTCAAGCGGTTCCTAAAATCCACCATCCCACTGCAAGACATCCTTAAAATGTCACGTAAACTTTGCATGCATTTCAGCCATTCCTACACCGCAAAGCACACCCTCCTTGAGCTGCAGCGGCAGAACGGAATTCCACAGCATCGCCTGATCTGCGACGTTGCAACAAGGTGGAATTCAACCCTACATATGTTAGACCGCCTTTACGAACAGCGAAAGGCCATCACCGATTTCCTGATGTTACAAGCGGATAAAGGTACTCCCCTGTGTAACTTAGATGTCAGCCATTGGCAGCTCATGCGTGACACCTGCCGCTTGCTCAGGCCCTTTGAGGAGGCCACGCTATTCGTGAGTCGGCAGGACTATGGGATGAACGACGTCATTCCTCTGTTGCACGTCCTGGAACAAATGCTGTTAACAATGGCTGGTCAGGGTGCGGTAGACGTGGTGCACAGATCTCAACGCCACATGACCCCTGTGGGGGCAGGACAGGAAGAAGAGGAGGAGGTAGAGGAGGACATTGGTGCTCAGGAATTATTGAGTGAAATGGGTGGTTTTTCCACTCAGCGGACAGGAGTGGAGGAGCAGGAGCATCTGGTAGAGGAGGAGGAGGAGACAGAGGACCCAGACGCACAGTGGCAGTATGCTGTGGAGATGGAGGCAGGGAGTCCCTCGCATTCCTTGGCACAAATGGCCCATAGCATGCTCGGTTTGCTTGCGTAGCGACAGCCGAATAATAACCATCAGACAGAGGGATGACTTTTGGCTGTCCACCTTGTTGGACCCTCGCTACCGTTCAAAAATGGTGGCCTTTTTCACACCTGCTGAGAGGGAGGCCAAAATAACGTACTATAAAAACCACCTATGTAGTCAGTTGGTCTCTGCCTTTCTGCGCGAACGTCCATCCTCAGACACTGTGGGCCCTGTGCGCTCGCGTTCCGCTGCCATGGCAGCAGGGGAGGGGTGGGGTGGTAGGAGCAGTGGCAGCTCCACCAGCAGCGGCTGCCTCAGTCTGCAGTCGATGATGAGTAGCTTTCTTCACCAGCGCAGTGAGGAAACTACTAACCAGCCGCCGCAGCAGCAGCAGCATCAGGTGGACCTGGAGCAGGACCTCAAACAACAGGCTTGGGCCTACTTGGACAGCACCCTGCCAACCGAGGTAGACAATCCCCTTGACTACTGGGCAATGAAACTTGACCTTTGGCCCCAACTAGCTGAATTTGCCCTTGAAAGGCTGTCATGCCCGGCCAGTAGCGTGGGATCGGAGCGCGTGTTTAGTGCGGCAGGAGGTATTGTAACTCCGCGGAGGACACGACTGTCCACCCAAAGTGTGGAGAGACTCACGTTTATGAAAATGAATCAGGCGTGGATTAGTCTGGATTTCAAACCACCAGTTCCTGACACAACTGACTAAATCCGCCATGAATCATTCCCCAAACATGTTATTATTTTTAACATAGGCCTCTGTATGGCCTTCAATTTAAGCTGCTTACGCTTCGCCACTCTGCCATGGGCCCCTGTACCGCCTCCTCTTGCTGCTGCCAGGTCCAGAGTGTGTCATGGGTCCCTGTATGGCCTCCCATTGCTGCTGACTTCATCGCCAGACTCTGCCATGTGCCACTTTCAGGTCTCCTTACACTGTTGGTGGGTTCCATTTTGTGATAGGGTGCTGTATGGCCTTCCATTGCTGCTGCCTCCACCGCCACCCTGCGCCATGTGCCTCTGTCGTCTGCTCACGCTGCTGACGGCTTCCGCTTTTTAACCGAGGCCTGTGTTTGGCTTCCGAATACTGCTGCCTCCACCGCCACCCTGCGCCATGTGCCTCTGTCGTCTGCTCACGCTGCTGACGGCTTCCGCTTTTTAACCTAGGCCTGTGTATGGCTTCAGATAATGCTGCCTCCACCGCCACCCTGCGCCATGTGCCTCTGTCATCTGCTCACGCTGCTGCCAGTCCATACTGATTCATGGCCCCCCTGTACCGACTCCTCATGAACGTGGTTCAGCGGGTTTGCAACACTTAACGGCAAATCGTTGACAAACGCTGGGACGTTCAGTTGTTGTGTTCAGATGTTCAGTGTTAAACCAGACACCAAAGGGCAGCACAGACCTGTTATTACTCGCTCAAGCATGGCTGAACAAAACCAGTCTCTACCACAAATTGGACCCAGACCTGCCCAGGGTCTCGTAAGTAGATTGCACGGAGGAGTAGAGTTCGTTATTGGAATTAACTGTGAGGGACTTTTAAACCTAGGCCTGTGTATGGCCTTCAATTGAAGCTGCTTCTGCTCCGCCACTCTGCCATTGGACTCTTGATAGTCGTCTCCTCATGCTGCTGCCAGGTCCAGAGTGTGTCATGGGTCCCTGTACGGCCTCCCATTGCTGCTGTCTCCATCGCCACACTCTGCCATGTGCCACTTTCAGGTCTCCTTACACTGTTGGTGGGTTCCATTTTGTGATAGGGTGCTGTATGGCCTTCCATTGCTGCTGCCTCCACCGCCACCCTGCGCCATGTGCCTCTGTCGTCTGCTCACGCTGCTGACGGCTTCCGCTTTTTTAACCGAGGCCTGTGTTTGGCTTCCGAATACTGCTGCCTCCACCGCCACCCTGCGCCATGTGTCTCTGTCGTCTGCTCACGCTGCTGACGGCTTCCGCTTTTTAACCTAGGCCTGTGTATGGCTTCCGAATACTGCTGCCTCCACCGCCACCCTGCGCCATGTGCCTCTGTCGTCTGCTCACGCTGCTGACGGCTTCCGCTTTTTAAACTAGTCCTGTGTATGTCTTCCGAATACTGCTGCCTCCACCGCCACCCTGCGCCATGTGCCACTTTCAGGTCTCCTTACACTGTTGGTGGTTCCATTTTGTGATAGGGTGCTGTATGGCCTTCCATTGCTGCTGCCTCCACCGCCACCCTGCGCCATGTGCCTCTGTCGTCTGCTCACGCTGCTGACGGCTTCCGCTTTTTAACCGAGGCCTGTGTTTGGCTTCCGAATACTGCTGCATCCACCGCCACCCTGCGCCATGTGTCTCTGTGGTCTGCTCACGCTGCTGACGGCTTCCGCTTTTTAACCTAGGCCTGTGTATGGCTTCCGAATACTGCTGCCTCCACCGCCACCCTGCGCCATGTGCCTCTGTCGTCTGCTCACGCTGCTGACGGCTTCCGCTTTTTAAACTAGTCCTGTGTATGTCTTCCGAATACTGCTGCCTCCACCGCCACCCTGCGCCATGTGCCACTTTCAGGTCTCCTTACACTGTTGGTGGGTTCCATTTTGTGATAGGGTGCTGTATGGCCTTCCATTGCTGCTGCCTCCACCGCCACCCTGCGCCATGTGCCTCTGTCGTCTGCTCATGCTGCTGGGTTCCAGTTTTAAACCTAGGCCTGTGTATGGCTTCCGAATACTGCTGCCTCCACCGCCACCCTGCGCCATGTGCCTCTGTCGTCTGCTCACGCTGCTGACGGCTTCCGCTTTTTAACCTAGGCCTGTGTATGGCTTCCGAATACTGCTGCCTCCACCGCCACCCTGCGCCATGTGCCTCTGTCGTCTGCTCACGCTGCTGACGGCTTCCGCTTTTTAAACTAGTCCTGTGTATGTCTTCCGAATACTGCTGCCTCCACCGCCACCCTGCGCCATGTGCCACTTTCAGGTCTCCTTACACTGTTGTGGGGGTTCCATTTTGTGATAGGGTGCTGTATGGCCTTCCATTGCTGCTGCCTCCACCGCCACCCTGCGCCATGTGCCTCTGTCGTCTGCTCACGCTGCTGACGGCTTCCGCTTTTTAACCGAGGCCTGTGTTTGGCTTCCGAATACTGCTGCATCCACCGCCACCCTGCGCCATGTGTCTCTGTCGTCTGCTCACGCTGCTGACGGCTTCCGCTTTTTAACCTAGGCCCTGTGTATGGCCTTCAATTGAAGCTGCTTCTGCTCCGCCACTCTGCCATTGGACTCTTGATAGTCGTCTCCCCACGCTGCTGCTGGGGGGACTTTTTAACATAGGCCTCTGTATGGCCTTCAATTTTAGCTGCTTACGCTCCGCCACTCTGCCATGGGCACCTGTACCGCCTCCTCATGCTGCTGCCAGGCCCGTAATCTGCCATGGGCCCCCGTACCGACTCCTCATGCTGCTGCCAGGCCCGTAATCTGTCATGGGCCCCTGTGTACCGCCTCCTCATGCTGCTGCCAGGTCCAGAGTGTGTCATGGGTCCCTGTACGGCCTCCCATTGCTGTTGTCTCCATCGCCAGACTCTGCCATGTGCCACTTTCAGGTCTCCTCACACTGCTGGTGGGTTCCATTTTTGTCATAGGGTGCTGTATGGCCTCCCATTGTTGCTGCCTCCACCGCCACACTGTGGCTCCACACTCTGGTTTTGGCCCCGTGACTGCCCAAATGAGTGAGTGAAGTGTGCGGTGATTCTAAGATCGACGGCACTCATCTGCATGTCATACTGACTGACAGTATTATTTCTCTTCCCCAGCAGACTCCAAGGGCATTTAAATTAAAGGTACAGTGTTCTGCACTAATATAAAGGCTCTCTGAAGCCTAGAAACACCCTTTTTATAAGTTAAATTCGCGGCGAATATATTCGGATCGAATCAAATTTTTTCGGCGAATTCGGCGAATCAGCCAAACCGAATTTTTGAATAATTCGCTCATCTCTAGCTAGGACTGAATGGATGATTTCCCCGTTCTGGGTACAGTACCATAGTGCTTACCATTAAAATCTTCAGGATACTGTTTTCTCATTACTTGAGTAGCACTGTTATAGGATACTACATTTTGCTTTGTGTATTTCACCAGCACATTCAGTCTGAACACATTAAGGAATACATTATGACAAAAAAAATGCGATACCACTTACAATTGTCTGACACTTTATATTTAAATCTGTCATCAGTTTAGTTACAGAAATGTTTAAGTAAAGTTTCACAGTTATCAAATATTGAACACCAACAAGATTTCTTTTCATTTTAGCAACGACGGTAAATTTGAAGTGGCATATTACAGCAACGTTCTTATACATAACTATGGGTACATCTACTGGCTACCTCCTGCCATATTCCAAACACCGTGTTCCATCAATGTCAACTACTTCCCATTTGACTGGCAGAACTGCTCTCTGAAATTCAGGTGATTATATTTGTTCTGTTTTAGTCAGTTACGTTAGAGGTTATATTTACTAAAGTTTAAAGAAAATATGCAGGGGTTTTAAAGGTTTTTTTTTTAACTATGTAAATGTATGTGAATAACAGCAGTTTAAATGTGAATAACAACAGTTTTAAAGGAGTGACTACCCAAAACCGATATATCAGTTATTGTGGAGATGCTGCAGGGCTAAACCATCTCTCTTTAGTTCCTGGAATTTGCACCTCCACTGTAGCCATGATTAAGGCTTCCCTGTTGGATAATTTATCTTATGTTATAGGGAATGCATCAGGAGGAGCAGATTCATCTAAGTTGGGATTGGGCTTCCTGGGTCTAGGTATACCACTACCCCCTTAGGGATTGCTGATGAATTTGGGTCCCCCTATAGTCCTGCACATCCAGTAATACAGCATTTTCCATACAAGCTTTCATCCAGAGACAGAAACCAGTACTTGTGCGTTGGTTTTGATATTTATTGAGGGGATTACAACTTGGATAGGGTAAGGGGGGGGGAGGCATAGGATGCCCAAGGAATCGATAACTGATAACAGCTTTCTGAAACTATTCACAAGCTTCTTTTCTCTGATGCAGTCTCTGTTGGAGTGCTAGCCAGCATTTCCTAGTTGTACCACCTCAGACCCTAGATGAACTCCTCTTCACCCAGCAATCTGAAGACTTACTTCCTGAGCAGGGGATTTGGCTCCTTTCCCTTAAATGGTGAACAGTCACTAGTAGGGGGCTAATCTGGTTTCCCACCAGAGTGTTCCTTCCCCTATCGGCCCAGGGGTGCAGGTGTACTGACTCGGATTCTCTCCTGTACTGCCTGCGGGTTGGCTGCTGCTGCCAGACCTATCAGTTGGGCTGTTCCATCCCTGCCATACAGGTAGTCCTCTCTCAGGGGGCCAGTGAGCTCCAAGCTTTTCTCCTCTCTGATTGTAGGTTCGCAGGCAGGCCCCATCCCACTAGGCCTCCTGGCAGCCTCCTTCCTCCAGCCTCACATCTTCCACCCCACTCTCCAGAATCCACTCCCTCCACTCTCTCCTGCTACTGAGCAGGCTCTTACACTTTTTTAAGGGAGTCCCAGCCCCTTGCCAAGCCTTCCAATGAGGATTGGCGAAGTCCCTCAAGAGTGCAGCCAACCACTCCTCAAATCCACTCACTCTCTCCAAGGCCCTCCTCCAAAAGCCTCAGAGCAGTGGGGCTGGACTGCAAAGTCTCTCTCAGCCCTGACCACAATTTGACCACTCTGGCTATCACACTTGAGCTGCTAACCAGCTCATGACTAGCCATTATAGTCTGGCTCCCCCTAGCCGACCTAGAAGAGTGCTACATTGGTATGCTTTCACTTCATTCTCACTGTTTTATGATTGCTGGAATACTATATCAGAGCACTGATATAGCAACTGGGGTTGGTTCAGGCTTGCAAATGCAAGCAAGATGAACTCTACTGTTTTTTTTTTAATTAAAGTGGAACTCTATTATAAATTAATTATCAAGTACAGAAAGGTAAATGGGCACATACTAAGAAGTACAGAAAATAAAAAAATGACTAGAATTGAATAGGTATCAAAACCCTGACTGAGTTTATTTTAAAGCTGTGATAGAACCCCATTCTCACCTCATAGTTTCCATATGTGTCATTTTGTATCTCTTATTCTGGGCTGGGTAAGGTGTACTTATACTTGACACATTTGTTACAATTATTTGTACTTGTTTTGTTCAACATCCTTTATCTTTTTCAACAGCTGTGTAGGGCACATGTATCTAAAGCCAAAGGTTTTTTTTATTATTTTTTTTTAATATAGTATGTATGCAATGGTTAAACCCCCTGTCAGGTATTTGTCTTCTGTCTTTGTTTCATTGGTGTGATTTTTCCTCCACATCCTATCCAGTAGACACACCAAGGAGTGAGAGAAAATATTTTCAAAGTGGGAAAATCCCCTCTAATACTGTTGTCTCTGCAAAACTATTACTGTTCCAGTGATATCTCGAAATTTGTGATTTTTCCCTCATTTCCAGTCTGGGTGACTATGGCCACCAGTTTAAACGGACAGGGGGAATTAATTCCCTACTCTACTCTACCCTACCCAAAAAATGGCTTTAGATATACTTTAATAGTTTTCTGTGAAATATTTTAATTTTTTCAAAAGTTTATACATATTTATACTTGTTTTTTTTATGATGTACAAATAATCATCAGAGAGTGTGGTTAGTATCATGGCTGAAGGACTGCTTAAATAAGAACAGTTAGACCTCGGTCACACCAATCTGACTTTGAAATCATGTGACTTCTCTTGAAGTCACACAATTTCAAAGTAGAATCTCAGTGCAACTTCAGGTGTGATTTGTGTATCTGTGTACAGATGTCTATGCAAGTTGCACCTGAACTTGCAAAAAGTAGTTCATGCACTACTTTCAAAATTGGCAAGGCTCCGGTCAAGTCAGAATCACACCGGTACGATTGGTTCAATTGCCGACAATATGGTGCGACTTGTCATGAGATTTGAAACTATCAAATCGCATGACAAGTCGCACTGGTATGACCGGTCACTTAGCCACCAAATTATTGTTTTCAATTAATCCAGCAAGAATGAAAGAATTGGACAAAAAAAACCAGTAAAGCACAATCATTTTGCAGCTCTTTCAAACAGGAAACAGAAAATGTGACTGTCCCCTGTACATCCATGCCTAGAACCACACATATCTATACATGACCTACCTATATAGATCCATACTAAAAACTGCAGATATTCAAAAACAACAAACACCCTCAAAGTCTTATGTATTATTGAATATCATTTTTTACTTTTCTGAATTCTATTACTGTATGTCAGTGGAATAGCAACCACGTTCTTTTATTTGGTACATATTCTTTATAGTTAGCCCCAGATGGGTAACATATTTTTCTCTGCTGTAGTTCATTAACTTACAACGCTAAAGAGATAAACCTACAGCTAAAGCAAGATACAGAATTAGACACACAGAAAAGTTTCCCAGTGGAGTGGATTGTCATTGATCGAGCAGCATTTACAGGTGAGGCGCCTCATTTCTATACTGCAGAAATAACAATTACAAGCTTATAGAACACAAATGTATATATTGCAGCTTAGTAATCCTTAGATGTGGTGGCTGCGTTAGTTTTCTTATTTTAGGCTTTCTTCCTATTATCCTTCCTTTATTTTATCCTAGTGATCCTGCCAGTAACACTCTTCTATCCTCACTGTTCTATATGTTCTACAGGGGAGCAGGGGAAGCAACATTTTCACCCTAGGACGTTTGTTCCCTAATTTGACCACCAATCACATCCCCCTTTTCATCTCCATAATATGGGGGGGGGCAGCAGTGTGCTGTAGTCCAGGGAAGAGAACTACTTGAGATTTCATTGCAACATAGGAGGAGTGCACAGTAAATTACAAGCTCATTGGATTTCTGGCAATATAAACAGGCATTTCTTGCACTTTTCATGGTTTCTCAATAATAAGTACTCAGTAAACAAAGTCTCTCCCAAAAGCAGCTGGAAAGACAACAATGCCCCCCCAAGCATTTATCAAATGTATCTCATAAAGCAGCACTGGTTTATGAGATACACTTCATGTTTTGCACTAATATAACAAAACACTTTCGAGTATACTGTATCTTTCAAGGCTGGCTTATATAGCATATCGGGCATGTAAGTTTACACCAGGTATGAATGCAGTGGTGTATTTAGGTTTTGTGCTGCCCTAGGCAACACAAAAAGTGGCAACCCCCTCCACCCCCGCAGAAAGAGCCTGACATTGACCAAGAGCACCCCTGCCCTTCACCTGAGCCTTCCACTACCACTGCCCCCCATACACCAGCCACCAACCACCATGGTGAGAGAGAAAGACACTCACCTTCACAGCTCCGGACATCCCCAGGAACGAGAGTTAGGCTGTGCATACACCATCATGAAACCCACAGCATCTCTCGGAACCCATCAGGTCCCCATGCCACGTGTGTCCCTTCTTCCATCCATTTTTTCAAGAGGCAGTGTTGCCCCCCCTGAAAAATGCAGCCCTAGGCAAATGCCTTGTTTGCCTTGTGGTAAATACACCCCTGTATGGATGCATATCAAAAATATTGAAATATGACAAACACTTCAGATGAACAGAGGATCTTGTTATTATTCCCTAGAGAACCCTTATAGCTGCATGCTTACTTATTTGTTACATTGGGCTATAAAATTAATAGCTGTAAAAAGCATATGGCCACCATAAAAGTAGCTGTACAGTTTGGGGGAGATTTACTACAACTGGATCACTCAGAATCTGATGTAGCTGTGCATGGGAGCCAGTCAGCTTCTAATTTCAGTTTGTTCAATTAAGGTTTGACAATAAAACCTGGAAGCTGATTGGTTTTTATGCAGAGCTGCACCAGATTTTGCATGCTCCAGTTTTAGTAAATCACCTCCTTTGTGTTTTTTTTTACCCAGTGCATTTAAGTTCTGAGCATAAAATAGGGCAAAGCAACAGGTTCACTTTAATTCCCCCTCTTCAGCAGCACATACACACTTTTTCTGTACACACATACACACTTTTTCTTTTCAAATTATATATGCTTAACCATATGTCAAATTTCATATCTAACCATTCAGCAGATGCGTCTGCATATTAATCTACTAGTGGCAAGGCTGCTAAATGCACCAAGAATAAGTTATGAACCATGACATCAACTGAGAAAGTTTTTGGTTCTAGCTTGGGTCTCTGCCCCAACACCACTCCCCAAATGAGGCGATTGGTTCTCTGCTTCAGGGATACACCCTGCTGAGTTCCTAGAAAAAGCTAAGCTGAGTTGAGCTAAGTTGAAGATTCTCCCATTTAACATCCGAACCACCTTTGGGAGATAAGGCCCTTTTGCTCTGAAACCTGATCTGCTTAACCCAAGGCTGATGGCAAGTACTTTAACCCTCTGAACTTCTTTCTGTTATCTCTTTGCTTTGCTATTGTTTTCTGTATATTTATATATATATATATTGGCTACATATTTTTCTGTAAATATTTTTATTGCACCCTTTTGACTTTTTAGTAATAAATCTTACTTTCTGAAAGTGTTGAACTGCTTCTAAAGCTCTTTAATGCAAACTAAGAATCCCTGCCTCTGAAAAGCGCTACTGTGTGTGTGTGTTTTAAACTTCGATATATCGCTGCCTGTGGTGACAGTGGTATACCGATGCTTATGCAAACATCATAATGTTATTGCTGATATTGCCGAGTTTCCTCTCTTCTTCTCTGTACAAAAAGGAGGTGGTGGCAGTGTGAAGGGTTAATTGAGTAATTAACCTGACCCAGTAACAATCGCTTCCAGGCTTCCAGCACACAGGTTGTGGCTTATTAGCTGGAAAATCTTTGTGCAGGGTGCAGCTGGGCGTGGCATTGTTAGGCACGTGACAGCGCGGTTTTAGATTGGCTAGTCTTTCGGTCATGAGTTTGGTGAGAAGGGCTGGGGTCTGACGCCGCGATCGTCACACTCAGAGCAAAGAAACACTTAAAAATACAAGTTCCCACACTGCAAAGCATAGTTAATACTGTGCAGCCCAAAAAATGGTTGAATTTTAGAATGAATCTACATTCACTGAATGATAAATAGAATGGGCAACACATGGGCAAATGCTGTAGAATGATTTTTTCGAATGTTGAGCAAATCCCATTTGAAGGTGAATGGAAAACATCTATAATAAATAGTGAGTGAATGGGCAAAACTCAATCTTTGCATCCCTAGATGTTTGTCTAGTTAACCTTACTGTGTTTTCCAGAAAATGGAGAGTGGGAGATTGTCCACATTCCAGCCAAAAAGAATATCGACAGGAGCGTGTCCCGTGAGAGCACCAAGTATCAGGACATTACATTCTACCTCATTATTAAGAGGAAACCCCTCTTCTACATTATTAATATCCTGGCTCCCTGTGTTCTAATTGCTCTGATGGCCAACCTTGTCTTTTACCTGCCAGCTGACAGTGAGTACCTCATTAGAGAAAGAAATATATTTACCAGCAAACAAGATACAATATTATTATGTTATATTGTTTAACTAACACAATAGTTGAACTACAATTATATAAGAGGGATTTAGAGTGGTGCCTGCAAATATCTTTATCACCCCAAAACCTATTTTGTGTGAACATGATCCCCCAGTCCTTGAAACACTTTTCAGAGTGCATAGCCAGCATCAGAAACTGATAGAAGGGAGAGGGCATTGCAGAAATAATAAGAAATCTTTTATGTAGGATATTTGGGCTCCCCACCTACCTCCTGTGCAGCCAGTCAGTAGGCCTTATCTGCTGGAAAGATCCAGATGTACTAAACCTGGATCATGGGTGTTTGTGAGGCCTCGCTAGCAAGTTAATGTGTGATTCTCAACATTAGGCCTGCAACCCAAAAGCCTGAGGAATATAGTACCCATGCACATAAGCACTGGAATGGTGGGACTTGGACACCCCAACCATGTCTGAAGCATGTAGGACCATGGTGGATGGACAGGCTTATAAAACTGCATAAGGGGGCACTGCTATCATCCTGGGATAAGCCAGCCTTACACATGTTATGTAGTCCTTGCTGTAGACCACCAGCAGGGTACTTGGCCATAACTCGCAGCTAAGGAGTGCTACAGACTTGGTCTAGTCAGCAGAATTTACTTCAGCTGAAGTGTAAAGGCGTGACTGAACTGATGATTCCCTCAATGATTGTTGGTGTTAAAAAGCAAATTCCATGCCATTGTGCAGGAGGTGGAAAGCTTGAGCTGTGGTGCTATGGAAGTAGTAACAGAGCATGTTTTGGTGTAGGCTTTGCTGTAGGCCTCCAGCAGCAGACATGGCCATGACTTGCAGCTAGAGGAATCTACATCAGTAGATCCCCATAGCTCCCATATTCCTATTCCCACAAGTTTAAATAAGAGCAGATGTCTATTCTGTTAACTGAAAGTTTACTTTATAAGAATACTGTAAGTCTGTAATACCTTGTAATAGGTTTGTTTCTATATGTATAGGCAGGTGTTTATGACATATAGTACTTTACTTGGGGTATGTGGCCCTAATCATTTTACTTCTACCACCATAATAAATATGCATATAAATGTTTAATATAATGTGATACTCCCTGCTTAATAAGGCAGCACTATAGTAGTCTGTGTGTATAACATCATATTTTTGGCAGGTGGTGAAAAAATGACCTTAGCCATATCTGTCCTGTTGGCTCAGTCTGTCTTCTTGCTGCTAATCTCACAGCGCCTCCCAGAGACCTCCTTGGCTATACCACTCATCAGCAAGTGAGTTGCTCAATTGTTCTTTTCAACTTAATTGTAACTGCTGTTTTGGTGTATGCTAAAAATTTCTCTTATCTACTGCTGCCTGCATCAACAAAATGTTACTGAAAGATCTTAAGCATGTGGCATACTTTTGATGTGTTGCATTCCTGGTCCAGCTGCTTACCGTGGTTACTTCCACTGGCCTCTGCCTTGATGAAGGGGTGAGCCAATGGATCCACAGTGCACAGTGCGGAATGCCAGCACCCAAATCTCCCTAAAGTGTTAAATGTAGGAAATCTTTAAGCAAACTCTAAGCAAGAGTATCCTGAAGAGTTCAGCGGTGCAGTGCAATAAAGGGCTAGTGGACCTTTACGTACTTGTATCTTTGCAATAAAGCTGAATAGGCCAGGATTATTCCAAATGCATTTTAAACTGCCCAATGGTCTGAGACCAAAAGATAATTAAAAGGGGACTCCAAACTTAGCCAAAAGTGCAAATTCATTTGCAAGGCTTTGCTGTGAACATGGAAAAATGTTCTGTGTGTGTATGTATGTATTGTCATTTTCAGTGGTACTTTTATATTTTTGTATTTCATAGGGTGTATTAATTTAAATTGCTAAACATATTACTGTTCTACACAACAAAGCATATGGTCACCTAAACAGATTAAAACATTAAAACTGTCTTCTGTTCCTCAGGTATCTGACATTTATCATGATTCTGGTGACAATTGTAGTTGTGAGTTGCGTTGTTGTATTGAACATGCATTTTAGAACTCCCAGCACACACATCATGTCAGAACGGATGAAAGAGGTATGACCAGAATACAGTGATTTCATTCCATAATTATATATAGCAAATCCTTTTTATATAGCTCAAGTCTGAAGTTTAGGCAGTGAAATTGTATGAACAGTAATAATATGAGGGTAAATCTGGGCATATTTACATTCTGATGTTTTGTACACTTGAATTCTGCTGTATGTTGAGTTGGGTCAGTCTAAAACTTCTTATTTGTCATGTCTACTCTGACCACTAGATCTCCTCACCCACCTCTGCTTGTTCCACCACTTTTTGTTGCACACTCCACATCTAGGCAAGCTGGATTCACTGCCTCTTCCCGCCAAACTGGCCAGGGACTTTGCCCTGCATCGTCATGTGATAGGGTGTGCACATGCCTTTCTTTAGGGTGAAATTTGCCATCTTGTGTCCCACACACTCCAGGCCCAAGGCCTGCTCCTCTCACAGTACTCACATTTCTCAAGCCCACCTTCTTGAATAAAGAATGCCCACACAGAATGCTTTTCATCATATTACTGAAGAATGACAGCAACGTGGCACAATTTCACATTTTCACCTTTCCTCATTTACAGTGCAGAACACTTCAGTGCCACCATCACAAGTTCCTATAGTCCAGCCATCTTCCCAAATGCTCTTTTGTAAGTGCCCCAGTACTCATGAGTGTCCCCCGAAGGCCTACTACTCTCCAGGCTACAAACTTACATGCTGTAGATCAGGGGTAGCCAACTCCCATCCACCTTTTGCCCAGGGCCCCACCCATGCCAAAATGATAATAGAAAAAATGTGGCCACCAGAGTAGGCAGGACAGCCTACATAACAACTGTCTCATCATGAATAAAGATGTGGGTTATGACCAAACATAAAGCAAAACAAAAAACAAGTGTGAGAGCAGGCTGTGTTAAGGTGGTACTTAATAAACCAAAGCAGAGTAGTAATTGTATAATTTAAAAGAGGTACAAATCTTTATTTAAACCTTAATTAGAAAAGGGAAACCTTGCAAGGTAAACAAACATACAAAACACAACAGTCAATAAAATAAGCAGTCCGGACTGCAAAGTCAACAGGCAATATATGGTGTTAATTAAAGCAGCCTAGAACACAGGTACTTAAATGAATGCCAATAATGGACAGCAAAAGCGTAGCTAGAAGTAATATATTGTAAGCAAAAACATGCTGTTGGTATATTGGATGTAAATAGGATAATAAACTATTACTACCCTAGGCACTGAATGACAATGTCCTGCCCATAAGTGATCACATAAATTGGAATGGATTAAATCAGAGTGAATTGCAGTTGCCCCAAGATGATAGATGAGTAAAAGTGAGGGTAGTTTCAATATTTCCGAATCAATCGCATATAGCTGTAAAATATATAGCATATATAAATGGCAATTCAAGTTCTAGATGCAGCCCAGTAAAAGTAGTTGTAGATGTGAAGTAAGTAATCATACCACATAAGTGGAATAGTGCCCACCCATACCAGCCTATAAATGACACAGTACTCCCCACACTAACATTACCAGTAGAGTGGTCCCTCTAAAAGGGACATTACCACCTACTTTCACACTATATAAAACCTATGGATCCAGAAAAAACTGTGAGAAGCCTCTATAATGGCATCAGGTGTTTAGACCCAGGCGCTCAACTGAGGGATCTCAACAGTAGAGTCCCAAGATTATTAAAAAAATCATGTGCTGCTTACATACAGTATCTCACAGAAGTGAGTACAACCCTCACAATTTTATAAATATTTAATTATATCTTTTCATGTGAAAATACTGAAGAAATTGACACTTTGCTGCTTCACCCCTAAGTGAAAATGTCCAACTTGGGCCCAAAATGTCAATATTTTGTGTGGCCACCATTATTTTACAGCACCGTGCTGCAGCTCAGTTTCAGGGTCTTGGCAATCTTCTTATAGCCTAGGCCATCTTTAGGTAGAGCAACAATTCTTTTTTTCAGATCCTCAGAGAGTTCTTTGCCATGAGGTGCCATGTTTAAATTCCAGTGACCAATATGAGAATGAGAGCGATAACACCAAATTTAACACACCTGCTCCCCATTCACACCTGAGACCTTGTAACACTAACAAGTCACATGACACCGGGGAGGGGAAATGGCTAATTGGGCCCAACTTGGCCATTTTCATATAGGGGTGTACTCACTTTTGTTGCCAGAGGTTTACACATTAATGGCTGTGTGTTGAGTTATTTTGAGGGGACAGCAAATTTACACTGTTATGCAAGCTGTACACTCACTACTTTACATTGTAGCAAAGTGTAATTTCTTCAGGGTTGTCACATGAAAAGATAGAATAAAATATTTACAAAAATGTGAGGGGTGTACTCACTTCTGGGAGATACTGTAGACAGCATTTCCTACAAACTAAATTATCAGATTTTGCTGAACTGACCCTTTAAGTCTCTTTAACTTGGATATTTATTTTTGCAGTGCCAGCTGCATAAAGTGAATGATGGTGTGGGGTTGTGGGTAAATGCAGATTCTTAGTTGTAAACCAGTGCAAGTGTGGTTAGATAACTGAGAGAAAAAGGAGAGAAGCGCCTCTAAGTGCAATAAGTCTTTTAATTCAAGTCAAAATGTAGAAACACTCACATGTGTGACTTGAATTAAAAGACTTATTGCACTTAGAGGCGCTTCTCTCCTTTTTCTCATCTACAGAAGTTGCTACAGCTTATTTGGAAGCCTTACCCTCAGTGCCACACGGAATCCTACGCTCTTCATAGAGTAGCCACTAATACCACGATCAACCCATACTACTATTTCCCAGGACTTTGCAGTGTTTGCGCTGTTACAACCCTTCCTCATTTTTTAGATAACTGAGAGGTATGGGTCTCCATAAGGAGTTGTTGATAAAATCAGCAGAATCCCTGTTTGGAATGTAGATGTTATTGAGGTGCCTTTGTCAGTGAATATAACTATTTGTGTATGCTGAATGAGACCTGGATCTCCTATCAAAGGATGGGGAAATACAAATGCCAGTAAATGTCAAATGTGCACTAACTTTTCAAACATGGGCAAATAATCCGAGTGTAAATCATTCTCTGCTTTACAAATATGAATTTCTAAATTTCTGTTATTCTAATACACTAATGAACATTGTGTCTATTAGCTCTTTCTGAATAGACTACCTCGCCTACTGCACATGTCACGCCCAGCGGAACCTGAACCCGAGCCATGGAGTGGGGTGCTACAACGACGCAGCAGTTCAGTAGGATACATTGCAAAGGCAGAGGAGTACTTCAGTGTGAAATCGAGAAGTGAACTCATGTTTGAAAAGCAATCTGAGCGCCATGGTCTCATTAGTCGAGCTACACCCGCACGTAAGGGAATATGTTTTTAGTCTGCCATTCCCTTTATTTCCATGGGTAGTTCTGGGTTTATGACTAAATGTATCAAAAAATATGTGTTGATCCTACCAGATTCTACTCTCTCTGAGGCCTTTTTTAGTAGGGTGACCAGTAGCTCCCAATTCTGAAGGTCTCCCTGTGCTTCCTGTCCACTGCAGATAATGCCCCCCCCCCCCCCCCCCTGCTGCTCTGACCATTTAGCAGCTGAGACAGAGGCTTGTGGTAACTATAACTGACCCTTTAGTGTGACAGTATGGCCTATTACAATCATTGGAGAAATAACAGATCTGCTGTCAGGGTCAACAAGTAAAAAACACTGTTATGGGGGACTCAGAACAACAAAGACTACTGTGTGTCTTCATCATATTTGTGAATTTTTTATAGTGCCTATAGTTATTATTTATTTATTTTCAGGTACTTATATCACGCTGTCAATTTTACACAGTGCTTTATACATACAGTTAGGTCCATATATATTTGGACACCGGCACAATTTTAGTTTTTTCAGGTATTTACCTAAACATATTCAAGTTATAGTTCTATAATGGATGTAGGCTGAAAGTGCACACTCTCAGGTTTAATTTGAGGGTATGTACATCCAAATTGGAGGAAGGGTTTAGGAATTACAGCTCTTAAGAGTAGCCATCTCCCCTTTTTCAAGGGATTAAAAGTAATTGGACAATTGAATCAAAACCTGTTTCATGGCCAGGTGTGGGCTACTCCTTCATTATTTCTTCATCAATTAAGCAGGTAAAAGGTCTGGAGTTGATTCTAAGTGTGGTATTTGCATTTGGAATCTATTGCTGTGAACCTGCATCATGCGTTCAAAGGAGCTGCCCATGCAAGTGAAACAATGTACGGCTTCAAAAACGAAACAAATCCATCAGAGACATAGCAGCAACATTAGGAGTGGCCAAATCAACAGTTTGGTACATTCTGAGGAAAGAATAATGCACTGGTGAGCAAAGCAACTTAAAAAGGCATGGACGTCCACAGAAGATGATTGCAGGATCCTCTCTATGGTAAAAAAAAAAAACCCATTTGCAACATCCAGACAAGTGAAAGACACTCTCCAGGAGGTGGGTGTATCATTGTCAAAGTCTACAATCAAGAGAATACTTCACGAGAGCAAATACAGAGGGTTCACCACAAGGTGCAAACCATTCATAAGCCCGAAGAATAGAAAAGCCAGATTAGACTTTGCCCCCAAAAAAATCTAAAAAAGCCAGACTAGTTCTGGAAAAGCATTCTTTGAATGGATGAAACTAAGATTATTCTGTACCAGAATGACAGAAAGAAAAAAGTGTGGCGAAGGCTTGGAACAGCTCATGATCCAAAGCACACAACATCATCTGTAAAACATGGTGGAGGCAGTGTGATGGCATGGGCATGCATGGCTTCCAGTGGCAGTGGGTCATTGGTGTTTATTGATGATGTGACAGAAGACAAAAGCAGCCGGATGAATTGTGCAGTGTTTAGAGATATACTGTCAGCCCAGAATCAGCCAAATGCAGCAAAGTTGATTGGACAGCGCTTCACAGTACAGATGGACAATGATCCAAAACACACTGCAAAAGCAACCAAAGAGCTTTTGAAGGAAAAGAAGTGGAATATTCTGCAATGGCTGAGTCAATCACCTGATCTCAACCCAAATGAGTATGCATTTCACTTGCTGAAGGCAAAACTAAAGGCAGAAAGAACCATAAACAAAGAACAACTGAAGGCAGCTGCAGTTAGAGTCTGGCAAAGCATCAGAAAGGAGGAAACCCAGTCTTTGGTAATGTCCATGGGTTCCAGACTTCAGGCATTCATTTCCAGTAAAGGATTCTCAACAAAATATTAAAATTTAACATTTTATTTATGATTATATTTGTCCAATTACATTTGAGCCCCTGAAAATGGAGGGACTGTGTATAAAAATGGTTGCAGTTCCTAAAATTTGTACTTGATATTTATATTCAACCCCTTGAATTAAATCTGAAAGTCTGCACTTCAAATTCATTTGGATTGTTTTGTTTTAATTTATTCTGGTGGCACACAGAGCCAGAGTCAAAGAACAGTCCTTGAGCTTGGTTTAGTGACTTTATTAAGGGTATTAAGAACTGGGATGGGGTCTATGACCAAAGCAAAAAGATCTCTCCGGCTTCCATTGTAGCCATGAGTGTTCCCACTTGGTTGCGTTGACATTTCTGTGTCAGATTGAACACACTGTTCACAGCAGTAAAGCCCTGAATGGTTAACGGTGCTAAGCCTTCTTTTTCCAGTGCTTTTGTGCAGGTTATTAAAGGAGGCTAATTTCAAGAAAGATTCATAAACTTAAACTAGTTCTATGAAAAAATACACTGAATATTTTTATTTTAATTTTAACAAAATGTAACTGAATTAGGTGGTGTGCTTTAAAAACTATAGAAACATTTTATTTAGGCCAAAGTTCTAAAATATGTTATTGTATAGTTCCTGCCAAATCCTATACTTCCTGACAATCCTTGGCATGACATTGTATGGGTATTAAAACCATCAGGTTTAAACATAAGCTTTACTGCATGAAATGATATGATACAGTACCAGACAGCTTCAAAATGGGGGTTTGATCTTCTTTTTAAATTATATCATGTATATTATACACAGGAATAAATCCAGTGAACTCAGACAATCTACAAGATCAGTTTTATGGTGAAATTAAACCTGCCATTGATGGAGCAAACTTCATTATTAAACACATGAGAGAGAATAGAATGACTACAATGAGGTATGTGTGAGTTGCAGGCCAATACAGTTGGCTACGGGCTGGGGTGTGTTTATGATATCCTGGTGCCTTAGGCAGGGCTTTTTTTAGCAGGAACATGGAGGAACGCAGTTCCACCACCTCCAGCACTGGATATATGTGATGGCAAGAGGTGCTGGTGTGTTATGGAGAGTCTAATGATGCTGGCTGCTAGGGATCTATTGTTGCTGACGGTCTATTGTTGCCAGGTGGGTCTGTTGTTGCTGGTGTGGGATCTATTGTTGCTGGGGTGGGTCTTATGTTGCTGGGTGGTCAGTTGTTGTTGGGAGGGATCTATTGCTGCTGAAGGGGTATTTTTGTTGAGGAGGGGTCCACTGTTGGTGAGAAGGTCTACTGTTGCTGGGGGGGGTCTATTATCGTTGGCTGAGATCTGTTTTACTGTTTTTTTGCTATTACTACCAAAATTCCATACAAATTACTTAGCACCACAGAATGATACCTTGGTCTGTATTCTATAAATGGGTGCTACTGGGAGGTGGGTAGGGGATTGAACCAAGGAACGGTGCTCTGAGATGGGTAGGGGGCAGAGACAAGAGGTGACTCAGAAGGGGGGAGTTCCTACACCTATTCTCTGAGTAAAAAAAAGCCCTGACCTTAGGCATGCCTAAATAAAACAAGATCCATCTTTGTGTAACGTGATTATAGTGGTAAAAATGAATGCTTGAATGTGCAATAGCACTGCACTGCCTGCTTCATAGGCAGAGATGTATTTCAACCGTAAAAACTGACAAACAAGAGAAAAGAGATTTGGTTCCATGTTTTCTGAACTCCTCTCGAAATCCCGATCATTTCCCTAAGGCTGCTCTGGAGGAAACAATCAGTGTCAGATTTAGGAAGCACATAAAGGAAAAAGATGATCAGTTTGTACATTTTGAGGCTCCATTTTTGGTGAACTAACTGCGTTGTATCAGTCTCTTTTTGTATCCTGCAGTGGCCAGATCTTTTATCTGTTAATTCTGTTGGCTTCAAGAAATCAAAAATGTACCTACAGCTTGAATTATACTTACTGTATATGACATAAAATTAACCTTTGAATCAACCATTTTTCCAATAAAAAATGACGTTCAAGAATTTTCACTTTACTTCACTTTATTTCACTTTATTTTCTTTACAGGAAAAAGATAACTGGTATCGTGTTGCTCGGACAGTTGATCGCTTGTGCCTGTTTATTGTGACCCCTGTCATGCTCATTGGAACACTTTGGATATTTCTTGGAGGAGCCTATAACCAACCCCCAGCTTATCCATTTGCTGGTGACCCTTATGATTACAAGGAAGAAAAACAAGAGATACATATAGAGGATGTTAGAAAGGTTCCATCTCGTTCTGGATCATTACAAAGTAAACCTGAAAAGGAACCAGACTAGGGCACAGTAGAAGGATGGGTGTACATTCTAGTGGCATTTATTGATGTCTTATTTTTTCTATCCTTTTATCTGTTTGTAGTGTTTTGTTTGTCCTGAGGAACATGAGTGTTCTGTTTTGAAGCTATTTTATTTATGACCAATTGGTTTAATAAATACAATCAAAGTCTATGTTAAAGAAGTTCATTTTGTCTTCCTTTAAAGCAGAACTCCAGTAAAAAAAAAACAAGACAAAAAAAAGAACCTAATAAAAATGAAAATGAGAGTTTACTGCAGTATTCATTGAACTTTTGCTACAGTATTCATCTTCAGAGCTGTGCCTACAGTACTAATTTCTAACACTAGATGTTCTCAGTCAGATGCCCAATGTCATTCACCCAATTTTCTTTGAGCCCAGGCTGGAATGAACCCAACTCTAGCCTGCAACTGGACAGTGAAAGGAGAAGCTACACAATGATTAGCATATCTGCCTGTCACTCTTTTAATTCAGCGTGCTCCTTATCAGAGTATGAATTGATTTGCCTTATTGTGCTTCTTCTTCCCCTTATGCTGAAGACCTGCTGTTTAGGAATTGCAAGAGACCAACACAGGTCAAACTCTGGTTCTTAAAAAAAAAAACAATAAGCAGTGAATGGTATCTTTTTATTGAATATCAGTATTTCACCAAGCACAGCTGACTGGTAAACCCTATACCTAGAATATTCTAAACACAAAAAAAGGAGGCATCACCTGAATACACATACTGTATATATTTATAAACTTTATATATATATATACAGTGGGGATCGAAAGTTTTGGCACCCCAGCTAAAAATTTGTATTAATGTGCATAAAGAAGCCAAGGAAAGATGGAAAAATCTCCAAATAGGCATCAAATTACAGATTAGACATTCTTATAATATGTCAACAAAAGTTAGATTTTATTTCCATCATTTACACTTTCAAAATAACAGAAAACAAAAAAATGGCATCTGCAAAAGTTTGGGCACCCTGCAGAGTTGATATCTTGTACTGCCCCCTTTGGCAAGTATCACAGCTTGTAAACGCTTTTTGTAGCCAGCCAAGAGTCTTTCAATTCTTGTTTGAGGTATCTTTGCCCATTCTTCCTTACAAAAGTCTTCCAGTTCTTTGAGATTTCTGGGCTGTCTGTCACGCACTGCTCTTTTAAGGTCTATCCATAGATTTTCAATTATGTTGAGGTCAGGAGATTGCGAAGGCCATGGCAAAACCTTCAGTTTACGCCTCTTGATGTAAATCCCCCGTGGATTTCGAGGTGTGTTTTAGGATCATTATCCATTTGTAGAAGCCATCCTCTCTTTAACTTCAGCTTTTTCACAGATGGCATCAAGTTACCATCCAAAATTTGCTGAAATTTTATTGAATCCATTATTCCTTCTACTCGTGCGATGTTCCCTATGCCACTGGCTGCAACACAACCCCAAAGCATGATTGATCCAACCCCATGCTTAACAGTTGGACAGAGGTTCTTTTCATTAAATTCTGTGCCCCTTCTTCTCCAAACGTACCTTTGCTCATTCGGCCAAAAAAGTTCAATTTTAACCTCCTCGGTCCACAGAACTTGTTTCCAAAATGCATCAGGCTTGTCTATATGTTCATTTGCAAAGTTCAAACGATGATTTTTGTGGTGAGGAAGTAGAAGAGGTTTTCTTCTGATGACTCTTCCATGAAGACCATATTTGTACAAGTATCTCTTTATAGTGGAATAATGTACCACAACTCCAGTGTCTGCCAGATCTTTCTGGAGGGATCGTGCAGTCAAACATGGGTTTTGAATAGTTTTTCTCACAATCCTGCGAGCTGTTCTGTCGGATATTTTTCTTGGTCTTCCAGATGTTGCTTTAACTTCCACTGTTCCTGATGACTGCCATTTCTTAATTACATTCCGAACAGAGGATATTGACATCTGAAAACGCTTTACTATCTTCTTATAGCCTTCTCCAGCTTTGTGAGCGTCAACTATTTTCAGTTTCAGTTTTCTAGACAACTGCTTAGAAGAACCCATGGTGCTGATTGTTGGGGCAAGGTCAGATGAGTCTGGGCATTTAAAACCTTTGAGATTGACATCACCTGGTCTTCCCAGACGATGATTGTGAGAACAAATCTATGACACTGGCAGGTCTCAGCTTGGCAAAGGGGGCAGTGCATGCTATAAATTCTGCAGGGTGCCCAAAACTTTTGCAGACGCCATTTTTTTGTTTTCTGTTATTTTGAAAGTGTAAATGATGGAAATAAAATCTAACTTTTGTTGACATAATATAAGAATGTCTAATCTGTAATTTGATGCCTTTTGGAGATTTTTCCATCTTTCCTTGGCTTCTTTATGCACATTAATACTAATTTTTAGCTGGGGTGCCCAAACTTTCGATCCCCACTGTATATATATATATTATATATATATATATATATATATATATATATACAGTATATTGGGCTAACTTGGTTTGAAGAATAAGAAGTTCCCAGGGTCTACTAAAAACTAGTGTCAGGATTTTAGCAGATACCTTTGCAGATACCTACAATGGTTCTGGTAATATTAAAACCCTTTTCCTATGATTTAGGAACATAGGAGATTTGTAAATGCATTACAAAACATGTAGATTTGTATTTTTAAAACACATACAGTATATTTGAAATGTATTTTTAAAAAAATATCTTTCATATATTTTGTAATAAAAACGCATTTCAACATGCAGTATATATATATATCTATATATTATTATATATATATATTATATTATTATTTTTTTTTTTTTTTTTAAATATATTGAATATGGCCAAAATTGTAGCATTTCAAAAATATGTCAATACGTTTGGGAAGAATATTTTTAAAATATATTTCAAATATATTTTTCTTCCACGTGGGAAGGGCTGCATCTGGCCCCCAGGTCACAGTTTCAAGACCACTGTTTTAAAGCAATCAATCTGCAGAGGAATTTGAAAATACATTGACTTATCCTATCCAATTACATCTATGACCCTCAGGAGTAAATGCAGATGTGAATTTTACAGGACAGGTCAATTTTTATAATATTATTTAAAATGCATATTCCTCTAGATCTGATTGTTTCAACATACACAGGGAAATTAATGGAGTTTCTCAGACACTCTTAAGTATTCCAATGTGCCTCCTCCGCATGACAAATATACTGTAAGCGCAGGTGACAAAGTTATGTATCTGTTGTAAGCATGTAGATAAATTTTTGGACATGCACCACATATGAAGATGCACTCAGACTGGAGTGTTAATATGGACAGCGTAGCAGCTGAAAATCCTTAAAGCTGGATGTGTTAGAGCTGGGGATTGACGGACGCTGGTTCCCAATCAAGTCCGCTCCCTTTGTGATTGACAGCAGGCAGTGGATGGATCTACAGCCAATAGGCAGTCTGCTATTAGCTATAGAATCCACCCACTGTCTGCAGTTAATCATAAGTAGTGAGTGTGGACCTGAAGGGGAACTACTCCCTCAGCTTCCACATCAGGCTCTACCCAATGGCAGTGTCACTGGTTACTAGGGGGTTTATTTACTAAAGCTGGAGAGTCCAAAATCAGACTCCCTTCTGCATAGAAACCAATCAGCTTCCAGGTTTCATTGCCAAAGCTTCATTGAACAAGCTGAGGTTAGAAACTGATTGGTTTCTATGCAGAAGGGAGTCTGATTTTGGACTCTCCAGCTTTAGTAAATAAACCCCTAGGAGTCTGTCCTGCTGCAAAGCCAACAGCATTCTTTACAACCAATTACAAGTGGGAAGGGGAGGAGAGGTAGCAGAGGGAAATATGTCACTTGCTACAGAGTGTACAGAGACTGGCACTCTGCCTGCCTTTGTACGCTAACTTGGAATTGGTCTTAATTTCTCCCATTTCATTTTGTATGAACTGGGGGTAATTATTTTTTAAATTTGGTTCAGGAATAGTGGCACTTCATAATAGTGACACTATAAAGTATTACCTGAAGCTGCTGCATGTGTCAGAAACTGGCGGCAGAGAATTTTTAATCTGCTTCAGTCCATTTTAAAAGGCCCTATCAGAAAAGGGTTGTTAGGGCTTTACTAAATTCCCACGAGAGTTTTCACAGAATGTAGGTGCTGCTAGTGTGGTGTCAGTATGTGCTCAATTTGAATTGTACAGGATTGTGACAGGTTTACTTTAAGATAGCGTTACCTGCCTTATCAAACTTTAGTTCTCTCCGACAGCTAAGAATGTAAGAATGTGCTGGATGATTACTAAACTTGTGTTATGTTCAAACTATTAATCCCCATAACTATGTCCTATATATTATATATATATATATATATATATATATCTATACAATATCTATCTTGGTTCTCACAGCTTGTAGTACAAACTATCAGCCAGTTATGCAAACTAACCAATTGTCTGCTTCCCTCACTGACGACTAGTCTTTCTAGTACAGAAAGTGGAGGATATGTTTCCCAGAAGTTAGTAGCTAAAGCATGTTACAGTTTTAGTAAAAAACATTTTCAATATGACAGAGCAGTGCCGAAGTGTTCTAGTAGTTGTAAATTATTGTGTTTTATGATTTACTCATATACTAGATCTAGATTTTAAGATTTTATTGTGCCCAAAATGGGATAATATAATTAAGTGCTACTTAATTCTGTCTAAACAGAACAGCCATAGCTTTGGTGTACTCCAGTGGTCTCCAAACTGCGGCCCCTTTGCTTGCTTCTCTCCAGCCCTCGGAGTACTATTCCTCCCACTGATACCAACAAGGAGGCACCATTTCTTCCACTGCACCAATTATTGTGCATTTGTCCTTCCACTGGCACCAATGAGGAGGCACAATTCCTCCCACTGATATAAACAATTAGGTACTATTGCTCCAACTAGTACCAAGGATGGGGCACTATTTCTCCCACTAATACCAAGGATGGAGTGCTATTCCTCCAACTAATACCAACAATGGGGCACTATTTCTCCCACTAATACCAAGGATGGAGTACTATTCCTCCCACTAATACCAAGGATGGGGCACTATTTCTCCCACTAATACCAAGGATGGAGTACTATTCCTCCCACTAACACCAACGATGGGGCACTATTCCTCCCACTAATACCAACGATGGGGCACTATTTCTCCCACTAATACCAAGGATGGAGTACTATGCCTCCAACTAATACCAAGGATGGGGCACTATTCCTCTAACTAATACCAAGGATGGGGCACTATTCCTTCCTCTGGTACCAATGACGGGGCACTATTCATCCCACTGACACTAATGATGGGGCACTATTCCTCTCCCCTGACACCAATGATGGGGCACTATTCCTCCCCTGACACCAATGATGGGGCACTATTCCTCCCTCTGACACCAATTATGGGGCACTATTCCTCCCACTGACACCAATGATGGGCACTATTGCTCCCCACTGACACCAATGATGGGGCACTATTCCTCCCACTAACACCAATGATGGAGCACTATGCCTCCCACTGTCACCAATGATGGGGCACTATTCCTCCCCACTGATACCAATGACGGGGCACTATTCCTCCCACTGACACCAATGATGGGGCACTATTCCTCCCACTGATAACAATGACAGGGCACTATTCCTCCCACTGACACCAATGATGGGCACTATTGCTCCCACTAATACCAATGATGGGGCACTGTTCTTCCAACTAATACCAATGACTGGACACTATTCCTCCTTCCACTGACTACAAAAACTATGTCATTGTTTTTACTCCTACTGACACTTGGACATTTTCTACTCTACCTCTGGTGTACATTAAAGATTACATTCAGTTTTTTGTTTTTTTTTAATCAGAAGCAATAGTACAGCTTTTATGAATGCAGTATTTAATATCATTACAACAGTTTTGCGCATCATTTTACAATATAATGGGGGACAATTATAATACAGTTCAATACAGAAGGAATAGGACGACCCCTGCTCATGGAGCTTACAATCTAGAGTGGTGGAAAGGGTAAGCATAGTAGGCACTTATGAGGAGTGCCTGTGACAGGTCCAGTAGGTCATATTAACCCCTACAGCACTGTAAAATCATGATTGTAGGGTTATCAGGAGGTTTAAGAATATAGATTTCACTGAAAAGAGCAGCCACCAGCACCAGGAACATTTCTCGTCTAATGTATCATCCCCTGTACATATTGACATGTATTGATATATGACTTTTTGCATAACCTAAAGCATGCTGTCAAAACATGCTATAGATGTTTTTATACTGTACCAGTCATTGTTGATACAGCACCACCACTATAATTGATTCTGGTAGAATGTGCAACAGACAGGGGCGGACTGACAACTCATGGGGCCCCCGGGCAATAGGGGATCATAGGGCCCCTATGTCCTTGCCCACACACTCCATAAAAGCCTATAAAAAGGTACCAGGGGCATTTCACGGGGCCCCCTACTGACCCCGGGCCCTGGGGGCAGTGCCCGAGTGCTCGAATGGTCAGTCCGCCCCTGGCAACAGGTATATGTTTCTTATGCTGACATTTAAACACAGAGCTTAATAAGAGGGCTCATCCATCTCCCCTTTCCCACTGCCTGTACAATGGGAATTTTATAGAGTTATAATTAAAGATAGGATCTGAAAGTAAGCAGCTTCCCAGAAACATCATATATAGATAGTAAAAAAAAAAGTACGTGAAATATCAGTTTAAAAATATGTAACAAAATAAAAATATAAATATAAAATTTGTCCTTTGTCCTTCAGTGACAAATAAAAAACATCAGTTGCTATAATTTTTTCAGTGTATATATCTAATAATAGTAGATCTCACACTACACACTGCTGGTAAATCTAATCCAGAATATATTGTACAATCAGGTTACACGTGGCCTTCTTTAAAATGACCAGTGTCCAGTCTGGTTTATTTCATCAAATAGACATCATATAGCTGTAGCAGGCAACCAAACCTAGAAGGTTGGTGTTTCTGTGCAATACATAGTTATGTGATATTACTGAAGGAAATAGACCAAAGGGTTTGTTTGGTCACCTTTAGCCCAAAATTAATCTAGTATTTATAAGCACCATTTTTAACAGAACATATATAAGTTATAGACAAAGTGATGACTGACGTGACCTGATTTTACCAGGGTTACAATTTTGCTCTCACCAGTGACTTGACTTTTAGTGCCTTTTTGTTTTGTTTTTTTCTTGGTCTTTTCACATGGCCATTCCATTTTTTTCATCAGTTCAGTCACGTTTTTTCAAAGAAAAAATGGATGAGTTTACATCCATTTTTCATCAGTTTACATCAGTTTTTTCATCAGTTTACATCTGTTTTTTCATCAGTTTACATCAGTTTTTTCATCAGTTTTACATCAGCTTTTTTCATTCATTTTTTCATCTGTTTACATCAGCTTTTTCTTTTTTACATCCATTTTTCATCTGTGTACATCTGTTTTACATCCATTTAACCACTATCCTACTGGGCACTTATACCCCCTTCCTGCTCAGGCCAATTTCCAGCTTTCAGCGCTGTTGCACTTTGAATGACAATTGCGCGTACATGCAACACTGTACGCATATGACATTTTTATCATTTTTTGTGACAGATAGAGCTTTATTTTGGTGGTATTTAATCACCTCTGGGTTTTTTATTTTTTCTTAAACAAACCAAAAACCACTGAAAATTTTGGGAAAAAAAACGTTTTTTCTTAGTTTTTGTTATAAAACTTTGTAAATAAGTGATTTTTCTCCTTCACTGATGTGCGCTAATGAGGCTGCAGTGATGGGCACTGATAGGCTGCACTGATGGACACTGATAGGTGGCACTGATGGGCACTGATGAGGAGGCATTGGTAGGTGGCACTGATGGGCATTTACAGGCATCACTGATGGGCACTGAAAGGCAGCACTCATATATGGCACTGATAGGCGGCACTGATAGGTGGCACTGACTGGCACTGATAGGCAGTACTGATTGGCACTGTTAGGTGGCACTGACTGGCACTGTTAGGTGGCACTGATAGGCAGCATTGACGAGCACTGATAGGTGGCACTGATGCACACTGATAGGCGGCACTGACTGGCACTGATAGGCGGCACTGACTGGCACTGATAGGTGGCACTGAATGGCAGCACTTATAGGTGGCACTGACTGGCATTGATAGGTGGCACTGACTGGCACTAATGGGTGACACTGAAAGGCAGTTCAGATGGGCACTGATATGTGGCATTGATGTGGCACTGATGGGCACTGGCAGGTGGCATGGATGAGCACTGAGAGTTGGCACTGATGGACATTGACAGGTGGCGCTGCTGGGGCTACAGAGATCATCAGGGCACACTGATCATCAGTGCCCTGATGATCTGTGTACATGTCCCCTCCGAGGAATGCTGATTACCAGCTTTCCTCTCCTCACAAGCTGTCAGCATGACAGCTTGTGGGGAGAGAAATGCAGATAACCGGCATTTCCCTGTTTACATGTGATCAGCTGTGATTGGACACAGCTGATCCCATGACCGAGCCAACATCTTCAGCTCTTTCTGTGGATCAGTGATCCGCTGTGTCCGAGGGACACAGCGCACCGCCGATTGCCACGCTGCGCGCTTCGGGAGCCATGCATGTGCGGTGAGAATGGGAGGACGTCATATGACGTCATCCCAGAATGAGAGAACCACCTTGCATCCGTCATATTACTATATGGCAGGCGGGAGGCGGTTAATATGTTTTTGCGACACCAGAGACTGACGCAGTCCACCATTTTGTTAAGAATCTCCATTTTCTCCCCTCATTCTCCCTCCCCCTCACTCTGAGAGGCACAGTGACAGTGTATGTGTGTGTTAAAATGTCACAGGAGGGTCATAGGAGCTATAAAGGCCCCCCCCGGGGAGCCGGGCCTAGCTGTCCTAGAACGTGTGCCATTTCACACCTCGGAAGAGATAAGGCAAGCTTTCCCAAGAGTTGAAAGAGATTTTTTGACCCAATAAACCCAACTCAGCGTAGGTGACAGAATCAGATAACACTCCTCAAAATCCATTTTTCCCCTATGTCTCATATCTTGGAATATGAGAGACTTACATAAAAACCAGACATATCGTCAGATGGACGATGAGCAGGTGAACAGTTTGATGGGTCACTCGCCTTGTCTCGGACACACAAGAAAAAGCAGAAAAATAGATCTCGTCAACCGTTCAGTGTACACTTTCATAAATCATATCTAATCAATCCTCAGACTTGTCTGCATAATAATCTACCCACAGGAGGAATGTCACTTGTGCAGATGGAAAGTTATAGGCCAAAAGATGAGTTATGGGAGATTTTTGCTCTAGTTGAGGCATCCACCCATATCTCCATGCCCTAAGAGGGGATTGGTCCTCGACTTCAGAGCCACCCCCTGCTGGGGACTACAAAACAGGCTGTCGGGCCTAAGAGTGAAAAAGTTGAAGACGTCTCCCATTTTAACATCAATACCACCTGGGGGAGAGACCCATGCCCCTTCTGCTCAGAAACCTGATCTGCTTACATCCAAGGCTTAATGGCAAGTACCTTAACCCTTTAACCTCTCTCTGTTATCTCTTTGCTGTGCTGTTATTCTCTGTATGTTTATATATATATCTTAGTTACATCTTTTTTCTGTAAATACTTTTTTATTGCACCCGTTTGACCTTTTAGTAATAAATCTTTCTTTCTGAAAGTGTTGAACTGTTTCTATAGCTTTGTATTGCAATTTACGAATCCCTGCCTCTAAAGAGAACGCTACTGTTTGTTTAACCCTCTGTATAACTGGCCTGTGTTATGACCGTGTTATGCAGATGATTATTTCAATCATTATAGTGTTTTTATCTGAGATCGCCGAGTTTCCTCTTTCTCTGACAAAAAGGAGGTGGTGGCAGTGTGAAGGGTTAATTGTGTAATTAACCTGACCCAGTAACAATCGCTCAGGCTGCCAGTACATCGATCTGTGGTCCATTAGCTGGAAAAATCGTTGTGCAGGGTACAGCTGGGTGTGGCATTGTTACGCACGTGACATCGCGGTTTTAGATTGGCTAGTCCTTCGGTCACGAGTTTGGTGAGAAGAGCTGGGGTCTGACGCCGCGTTCGTCACATATTGGACATCGCGATCGCGGGGATCGTCGCAGGTTGGTGGCAGCGATCTTGCGATCGTGACACTTGCATCCGTCATATTACTATATGGCAGGTGGGAGGCGGTTAATATGTTTTTGTCCGTTTTCATCAGTTTACATTTGTTTACATCTGTTTACATACCTTTTTGGTCTGTTCCATTTTGTTTTACTGAAGAAAAATAGGGGTTTCTTATATTCAAAAAAATTGATATACAAATTATAAAAATAAATAAAAATATGCCTCAGATCAATAGCATAAAGTCTCTGTCTTATCCTCACCATCCCAGATATAGTAATGACCAAGAAGGGCAATGAGGCGATGGAATGGGCAGAGACACAGAGAATAATCAAAAAAGATCAGCACAAAATAAACGCATGTAATCAAATAAACACGTATTCAAAAAAGCTGGTAAAACATAAACATGTCAGAGAGGGAGGGGGTGAGACCATGGCTGGGCAAAGAAGTCACTTATGTATGTTATTTTTTGTTTCTTCTTCCCATGCAATCTTTACAGCTTCATTTTCACATTTATTTTTATTTCTACTTCTGCCATCTCCATTGTGCGACACGGGAATTCTTGCACATATCCTTTGGGTTGGTGTGTTGGATTTTGTGCGTTGCACTTTGGGGATGTTAAAATTGTTATTAGTTGCAGAACTGTCTTTACCTTTAAATCGGTCTGGTGTAGCAGGAGTTAGACCCAGTGTTGATTAGGAGGAACAGCTGTTGCTGGTGCCTAAAACCAACACTTTTTACATGGGAACACTGGGTAATGAATAAGCGCTGTCTTTAGCGTGAAACACGTTTACCTGCCAGTCCCCCACTGTATTTCCACTGTCTGTATTGGTTTTATCTTTGTTCAATAAAATGGATTGTTTGGAGTGCAGTTGATGGGACATCCTTTGTTATCATCTATGGAGCACATGAGCTGGGCTAGCACCTACAGGAGGAATTGTGCTTGGAGACTGGGAGTGTGTCTCCCTTGAGCAGCGGTACACATAAATGTTTAGAAGCACTAGAGCTGTCTTTACAGAAATGATTTTCTGCCCATAAAGACACTGATTGAAGGGTCTCTCTGATCAATCACTCACTCCTCTTTCCCTGCTAGACAGCTGTACACCTACTGGTATTTCTGGTTAGTATTTTGGCAGCTGGGATAAAATTCTCTCGCCCACATAACATTCATGTGTGAGACTGGCAAACAGTGTATGAAACAGTACTGAAGCCGCAGACAGTGAATCATTTATTAGGAACATGGAGTTCTGTGCTCATTCGCCAGCATCCTCCCTATAATTCATGCTGATTTATTATGCCAATTATGTTTATAATTCTGTGCACATTCCGACATTACTTTGCAGGAAACACCAGCATGTTAAGAGAAAGTATACCTTTATTTTCTTGTAAAAAACAGGGAGACTAAAAACACCTTGTCATATTAAATGTACAAGCATATATATACAGAATATAACTCTCTTCGGCTCTTTCTAGTTATGCCAGCAGTGGCTCTAACTAGGCAGGCTGTCATAGCATTTTTGAGCTTGGCCTCTTTGTGCATGCTATAATGTGCATTGAAAGCTGAAACTAAGCAGCCTATCAAAGAACAATTCAACCAATGCTCTTAGACGCACAGCCCCCTGGCAATTGTCAGGCTTCTCAGATTTTTGCTTGAGATGCATGAAATAGCAGGTATGAAGTCGTAAAAGCAATACATAAATTAATCTCAAACTGAGCTAAACTTGCCTCAAATACCTGTGTACATTGGCCTTTACAATGCAAGGGAATGTATTGTATTTGTGCACATATTTGATTTCTTTAACCACTTGCCGCCCGGCCGCTGTATATAACCCGCCAGACGGTGGCAGTCCAGGGGCAAGTTGCTGTTCCTTAACGACACCTGCCATTTTGGATTGTGCACGCTTCCTGGGAGCGTGCAGCACAGTGATCTGGTTCCCACTGTGTCACACCGATCGTCGTACGGGACCTCTGTGTGATCACTGATTGACCAATCAGTGATCACATGCAGAGTAGTAAGCAAGATGTCACTTCCTGACATCATTGCTTACTACATGTGAAATCTGTGAATGATCACAGAGGTCACATGGTACAAGGCTATTCACAACAGCCTTGTAAAATGTGACAAGCTGTGACCAATCACAGCTCACACAGTTTTTCTCAATGGTTGCAAGAATGCAGCCAGCGAGAAGGAGAAATTATTGATTTTACAGCCTTTATGGGTATAAAAGCAATCAGTGTAAAAAAAAAAATCTTCATCACCCCCCACAAGTAGTACAGTGTCACTATGGTGACACTGTACTGCTAGGGTGACAGTATGTAAAAAAAAAAAAAATAATAATATAAAAAATAACATAAAAATGTAAAAAAAATGTAAAAATTATAATTTTTTTTGGTTATAAACTAATTTGGGTCATTTTTTTTTTACTAAAAAGGTAACTGAATAAGTTTTGGCCAAGATTTGTGATGAAATATTATTTATTTGCAAAATTTTATAAGAAAAACACTTTTTTTCAAAATGTTTGGACTTTTTCATTTATATAGCAAAAAAATAAAAATCCCAGTGGTGAATAAATACCACCAAAATAAAGCTTTATCTAGCTAAAAAAGTGTCCGGACTTGAAGTGGTTAATATGATTTGGGCTAAAACTTACAATTCAAAAATATACTTGTCTTTATTGTCCACACAAAAATGTAGTACGTCTTAGACATTTGGGGTATACTGTCACTTTCAGGGGGTTTAGACATTTGCAAACAAAAAATAATATACAAATAAAAGTGATACTCGTGAGCTAAAATGTAATATTCTCTCTGTGCAACAATTTTATAAAACTATAAAATTTAACAGATATCAAATTAATTTGTGATGCATCAACACTAAACACATACTCATAATTTGTGTGAAAACTTAAATCAAAATTATTATAATAATTTATGATTGTACACATATATTTATATATTTATGTCTTGTTGCACAGGATATTGCACTGTTTGAAGCACAAGGTTTTTTCACATTTATATTATTTTTTGAGTTATATGTTTATGATTGATTTAATATATATTGTGAAGCACGACACATTCAGATATAATTTTGAAAAAATAATATACACCACCTCTCATATGATCCCACCTTCAACTTCCTTAGCTTTTTACATGCATCATTGAAGGTTAAGGTGGGAATACCCGATTAGAAAATTGACCAATCGGTCATCCAACGACCGAGAGGAGTTCATTCATTGGTCGAAATCATGGCCCACATTATCCAATCTAAAAAAAATCGTTCATCGGGCAATACATAGTGTTGACGTCTTACGTACAACTGGAACTGATGCAGTGTACGTGTGACCTTGTAGCCACGCCCTTCCAGCCAGAACGAGCGATATACACAACAATTAACAGCAATGAGTATAATATAGTTTATTACATTATCTATATACATAAATTGTGATACATAAAATATAATATGCATAATTCTAGTTTCATTATCTCA